GTTCAGAGTTGGTGTTCGGGCACTGTGCATGAGCACGGTACTCTCGGGGCAGTAACGTGATTACGGTCTTTGTTCATATACCCACGCTAAGAATTCGGCCAGGGTGCCAGTGCCCACGGCGTACGAGGTCGTGACCTAGTTCTCGGAAACTAACGGGCACCGGGACCACATCTTTTCTTTCGCTCCGAGACAATGTACTGTTTTGTATCCTCTGCCACACTCCCGACAGTGCGGACAGGGCTCCAATGTCTGACAGGGCGAAACTGAGCAAATATGGGCGAAACTGAGCAAATATGTAAACGATGATATAAGGTACCCAAGGTCTGAACAATGCCATTTTGGGCCGGTAGCTCAGCACAGTCTAGTTCTCGGGTTCAAGATAAAAGAAAGAATTTACATAGGGCAATGTTACACAGTTACTAAGAAGAAACTCCACTGAGAAAACATTTGAAAAGTATATAAACAATGCAATCGAAATTCAAAGTGAAGTTTTATCCCAAGGCGAGTCGTGTATCATATACAATCTACCATTGATGATTTTTGCCCTTCTCTCTTTCCAGATTGCGTCTCCCCTGTCCCCTATTTTGAAGGTTTTTACTTCATCCTCCCTCTTATTATTTGGTCGTTCCTTCTCCTTTAACATAAGATTTAAAGTCACGCCCAGCGGATTTAAACTAAATAAATATTACAATTATAACAAAATGGATTCCTCAATTATATTCAAATTGTTGCTTTATAGCTTTGGACAAAAATTTGAGCGCGTAAATAGGTTAGTCTGTTAAACTATTGAAAGACAAGGCCGTTTATACTGGGACGCAGTCATTTAGGCATTAACTGTGAAATAGCCGCGGAGACTTGTCAACCCCCCTTTCAGACGATAAAAGTTACGCCGAAAGTCTCTAAAGTGACTCTAAAATGCTCGATTATGACTGGTGGAAATGTGCAAGATTTGACCTGGCAGGCCCTTGAAAGTAACCTCCGGGCCAGTAAAGGTCTATTCAGTTAGTTTTCACACGACGTCTCTAAAATTCAAACTACAAAACTATCGATCTTACTGAGATTTTACTTTCATGGTGTATTAGAGCAGCTGAAAACTAACTTTCACACAAATTTTCACTTCAAAAGGGTTCTTGGTTTTGTAATAGAGTTCGCTTGAATTTCTAAGCTTTTGCGTGACGCAGCATTTACATGACGGCCGAGAGAGCTGTAATGTAGGTTAAAAAAGTGACTTTTTCGAGGAATTTTGCTATCTAAATAGTTCAAGTATTAGAAAAAGTATTACTTAAATGTTTATGAGTTCTTCTGGAGTAAATTCACGCTTTTGTAGCAAAACTCGGTACCAGATGTTTCTGTTGGTTTCCGTCGGCCATGTTGGCCGAGCTCATCCGGATGAGCTCCAGCATGGCGTCTCCATACAAAGCTCTATAAATTTGGGTAAAACATTTCCTCGAATATCTCGTATACGAATTATTCCTTCCACCCAAATCTTGGCGAGGGTCGTTTTTTGTTTACCTCCTTTCATTTCCCAGATCCTGGACTTTATCTGCCGAATGGTTTTGATTTTTATTTTGATATATTTTGAATGGCGTGACACTGAAAACCAGCAATACTTAATACAAAACTCTTCTTGGTTTTCACATGACGTCATCAAAATTCAAACTAAGAAACTATCGCCTCTTCTGAGTTTCTTCTTTTATGTGATATTAGAGCACCTTGAAATCTTTATACAAACAACTTTTCGGTTCAAAAGGGTTCTTTGTTTTGCGATACAGGACGCTTGAATTTCCAGGCTTTTGAGTGACGAGGCATTTAGCTGGCGGCTGGGAAAATTCTTATGTGGGTTAAAAACATAACGGATTTTTGGAGATTTGCTATCTGAACATTCCTTGTCTTAGAATAAACATTGCCTTAATTTGTATGAGTTCCTTCAGCGAAGAATTCACCCATAAGTAGGAAAACTCAAAAACCGATGTTTCTGTTGGTTTCCGGCGGCCATATTTGTGCCCCTGAAAGAGACACAAACATGGCGTCTCCATACAAAGCTTTATAAATTTGGGTAAAACGTTTTTCCGAATATCTCGCATATGAACTATTGCACAGACCTGATTCTTGGCAAGGCTTTTTGTATATTTATCTTCTTTCATTTCCCAGATTCCAGACTTGTTGTATTAAAAGGTTTCCATTTTTATTTCTGCTTTCCCACTTGAGTGAAAACCGAGAATTCGACGGATGTAAATCAGTCACGTGAATGTTTTTCTATAAAATACGCTAGTGAGCATTTTCTCCTTTTTCCTCTTTTGCAATTCATGGTTTATATAAAAACATTATGATGGATAATTTTTGGTCTTCTTTTTATATGTATTATGAATGATCCTTAAAGACCTCGTAGGTGGCTGACGGAGATTTAATTGCATGGTAACGTCAGCCCTTACGGTTAGAGTAATATCATAAAGCCGTTGAAATTTCATCCGGCTGAATCACCTTCAACGTTAACAAACGCACTTTTGAGTCCCTAATTTAAAATTAACATATGAACTGCAGTAAAGCATTAACGAGTTTGTTTTAGGAAAGTGTCACTTAAAAAAGAGAGATCACTGTATCTTAAAACTAAATGAGTGGATGACTTATCAGCTTGGAGAGTAAGACGAAAAATTTCTTTTCAGTTCCAGTTCAGAGAGTATTTAAGACAAGTTCTCCAGTGGATTTCTATCCTAATACGACGGAAATGGAACTTAATTGTACCTTTAAGGGATTGCCTCATCCTCGTGGTGCTTGGTACAATCCAGATAGTAAACTAATCATCAACGGATCTGAAAGCTTTTATCTCTACGAGCAGCTGTTTGGAGAGGACACCTTATCTTCTGTTCTTCGAAATCCTAATATCCAAGAAAAACACGCAGGGGCTTATAAATGCACAGGAATGAACAACATTACTGGATGGTCGAGGGAAAACACTGGGATAATTGAAATGCGTTATCGTTGTAAGTGATCTGATTACTTTAAATAAAGCCACTAATAAACCGGGGTGAGTAAAACTCTTACGTAGACCCCTTTTTTCAATCAGCAGGGCCGGGTTGTTCAAAACCACCGGGTTAGAGGAAAATTTGATTTCAGATGTTGAAGCTTAGAAAGCAAAGTCAGTTTTATTAATTC